CATTTTACTCAAAAGTTTTTATGATTAAGCAATTTAGTCCTAAGGTTTCAAATCTTTCTAAATCAGTTCTTCATGTTTTAAATTTAATCAAATTGATCCCTTTAATGTTATCTGTGCTTATGATGCATGCTTGTCTTTGATTTTGTCCATTTTAGCCCAGAAATTAAAAAATGTTTCAATTTGGTTTATCTTTTTTTAAGCTTGCTTATCAAGACTTAAGTAAACAGATAATGAATAAGTTGAATTAAAACCCCCCAATGTTAAAGTATGCAACCGTGTTTAAACGGAGGATTGTGAGGCGCGCGTATGCCCTTCCTCACTCCTAACCGAACCCCGATCTCTGCGCAGACCTGTTTAGGTGACTTGTCCCACCTTATAATTTGGACGATTGGCGACTCCCTTTCCTTATATTTTCACACAGTAATCCCATTTTAAGTGGTCGTCAACAGATTGGCGACTCCACTGGGGATCGAACCCAGAATCTCTGGTTTCCATATTCTGGGTTCACGAGGGTCGAGCTAATACTTTAACTTTGGGGAATTTTCAACTTTTGATTTTTCTTTATTTGTTGAGTCTTTGTGGGTCTTTGTTATTTATTGTATGTGCTTGTTGCGTGTTGTTTGTTGCCTATTGCTTGTTTGCTCATTGTTTTAGTGGTTACTTTGATTGTTTTGTCTTTGAGTAGTTATCTTGCTATATCTTGAATGCATCACACCTTGCTCACATGTTCATGCATCATATCATCTCACATGCTCATCCATCATTGATATTATATGCTTATTCATCATGCATCATGCTTACATGCCTATTTGCTTGTGTGTGGATATACTCACCTTTTGCACTTGGCTATGGAGTACTCAGTAAGTCTTTTCCCTCTTGTGCGATTATTTATATCTTGTTGCATGCTAAATGTTGGTTGCTTTGTGTTACTAACCTTTTGCATTCGGCATGGGAGTACGAGGTGATTCCCTTCTTGCTGTGTAAGTAGGTTTGTTTGTGGATGATATATTTGTTGAGTGCTTTACATGCTTTATTTGATTGTTGTGGGATATATTTTGTTATTTTTGTGGTTGCCATTGTGCAGGTTATTGAAGTGTTGTGCCCTTTTGCACACACTCACCCTCATTTTGCATTAGTTCTGTGTCGGAGGTGAACCTGACCTCTAGTCTAGAATCCTTACGAATCTGGCTTGGAAGAGCAATTCTTCCCGCTTTGAGGAGTAGGATCGGTTCCCATTAGGTTGTTTCCATTGGTTAATACGACACTCGATGATGTAATATCGTCCTGTGTATTAGCTTTTGGAAATATCTCCCGTTGATTTCGAGAGGATAAATGGTTGAGAAGGCCTAATGCCCTTTAGGAAAACATGTATTGACCTTAGAGAAATACCAACCCTAGGATATGTTTCCCTTAACATCCCACTCGTGAGGTTAGGAATCTCGTGTCTAAGACACAAAGGGGCATTTTACTTCACTAACCTTTGTTTGCGCATATGGCAGCTTATTTTTGTACATTTAATGAGGTATGGCATGCGAAGGTATGATTTATGTTTAACTTCTTTAAGCCTTTTGTTTAGGTTAGATCATGCATTAGACATGGATTTTACCGAGGATACAACTAGACAAGGGAAGAGACCTGGTGAAGATGTCACATCTCATCCTACTGCTAAGAGAGCCAAGGAGTCAATCTTTTCAGTCAATACCTCCAAACCCGACTTGAAGTTGTTGAAAGAGGCTTACGGTTTGTTGTCTTCAAGGAAGAAGCATGACTTTGAGGTCCGATTTGGGTGCATTGGAGATCTATTGTCAGTGGTGCCGGATTGGGATTTGTTCAGAGCTATGTTGAAGTTTTATAGGCCTCAGTATCAAGCTTTTGTATTCTCACAATTCGAGTTAGTGCTTACCATTGATGAGTACCATCATTTTCTTCGATGTAGTCCTGCAGTGGATTCTTGTTCCTTCACTCCTCAAGTGCAACGTGTGCAGTTCACACAAACAAAAGTTCAGGAAATGTTGCATGCTATGTGGGGTTTTTCATTTGAATTCTCACTGCCATTGGTGACAACAAGAAATAATTCTTATGGGTTTGATTGGAATGCAACATTAATGACCTTGGGAACAAGATTAGAAGGCATGACATCTTCTCAAAAGATTAACTTTGTGGCATTGGGAATCTATGGCATGGTGATCTTCCCTATTCATGTTAAAAACATTGCACCTATGGTGATAGTTTTCTTTGAGCAGTTGTTGCACACTTCAGCATTTAATCCTACTCCTACAGTGGTGGCTGAAACTTTGAGGTCCATGGGAAATGTTCGAGCAGATGGATCCGGTCATTTTTTGAGTTGCATTGAGTACACTATGTGGGCACATGGTCACTTGGGGAGTCCTCAATTCGAAGCTTTACTTGGTGTTCCTATGAAAGATAGAAAGGTGGAAGATTGGCATCAATTACTTTTGGCTGCAACAGTTAATGATGTCAGATTTGTCCTCCCGACTTGGAATGCTACTCATTATCTTGCTCCACCCAATGGATGTCACTCTATTCCTTTGTTGGGTATTCATGGAGGGGTTACATATTATGTGGAGTTGGCATCCCGTCAGTTTGGAAAGGCACAAAACGTTCCTTATCTTGATGATGCATTGCAGTCACGCTTTGATTACATGTCTTCCCTGGATTGTTAACAAGGTATCCGAGGCACATAAGATGTGGGAGAGACGTAGGATGCTACCCATATGGAAAGAGAAGGGGACTAGATCACAATATGAGCAATGGAGGTTGAGTTGGATAGCTAAGCTCTCTTTGCCATGGAAGGTGACAAATACAAAGAACTCTACCATCATGGACTTGACTGCCAAGTTGGAGTTCAGCCATACCCAAAGGCAACAGTTGCAAAAGAGGTATGATGAATTAGCTTTTAATCACGAGTTGCTTGAAAGGGGAAAAGAGTTGTCAGATCAGCAAGTGGTGGAGTTGAAGGACAAGATTGCCTCATTGGAAAAGGATTTGGCTGCTAGTAAAGAAATTTGTGGAAAGCAAAAGAGGAGCTTGGACTTCGCTGAAGAACAAAAGAAAAGGTTGCTACGAGTAAAGGCGGATCTTAAAGCAAGAGAAAAGGAGAACAAGGAGCTTATTGAGAAGGTGACTAGGCAGCAAGAGTTGAAAGAAAAAGTGATTGAGTGGAGGAATGCTTACAACAACCTATTGTCTGATTACGATGCTCTACAAAAGGAATTGCAAGCAGCAAAGCAATCAAAGCAAGGAAAGAAGGAGAACACAACTTGAAGAACTTGGGGAAGATGGGTTACTTAGGAGCTTTTGTATTAATGTCAGAAATTCCGATCTATCAATGAAAACTGGCTTAAATGAATACAATCCTTCTTCCTTGTCAAAAGTATATCCAATGAAGTAAAATCCATGATTAGGATAAAAATTTTAATTTTCATGTCTCATATCACATATACATTCAATTACACTTATCATTAGCTATAATCTTTGGTCATCCTCTTATTGATATCTTTACTTGGTCATTTTTGTTTAGTTCTCAAGCCCCTTTGTTTGGACCATCTGTGACCTTTGAAAAGAAATATGGATTCTCACACATCCAAGGCACAAGCTTCTTCACCCAAGACTTTGTGGGAGTTCTCTGCTTGTACTCAAAGGCTCAATGAAGAAACCATCTCCTATTTGCATCAGTTGACAAAGGACAATGAACACCTTCGCACAGCCAATGAGCAATTGGAAGAGCAACTACAAGACATGACTATCAACCGTAATCTTTACAAGATTGCCATGGAGGACATGTGCTATCAACTCCAAGTCGAGAAGCAAAAGAACCAAGCCCTTCTTGAAGAGGACATTGGCCTGCGTGAAATTATCATTGGCATAGCCGCCTTGGTGTCCCAATTCGAGGGAAGGATGGCAGAGACTCATCACCACATTGCTCAAAGGACCCATATGTCATAACTCAAATTTTCATCAAAAAAAAAAAAAAGGAAAGGAGAAAAATCAAAAATATAAAAATATGAATTTTCTCCTTTTATTTAACTAAGCTAATATATCTTTATTTTGTTTCAGGTGCTACATGCAAAAAGAAATTGGAAAATTCAAGAAGAAGAAAGAAGGGACTCAATTGAAGAGATTAAAAGTTGGAGGGGTGAAGTTCATCAAAATGAATTTACAAACCCAAACCCAAAACCCATCAAAACCCAAACCAAAATTACCCAAAAACCCAATCAAAACCCAAACCAAAATTACCCAAAAA